AAGGGTTCTTTTTCTTATTTTTTTAATACAAAATACAAGCAAAGGATACACATACTTAAAACAGAGCTCAGGAGCAGACACGCAGTCCTGGAAACCCTTCAATAAAAGCAAAGCAGGAGTTTGTTTTTTTCTTTGTCTATGCAGATACATACAGAGACTGGGATATGTAAAAATTAATATCACAAAAGACCATCACACGATTCTACCAATGCATGTTGCATCTATAATTCACGAACATGGTCAACAAAATCATGTTCACTTCAACCCCATTTCATTTAAATTAAAGAAACTTTTTAAATAAAGTGGTTACATTCAAACTTTAACTTCCTTAGAACCATGCTGCAGATTTCAGCACTGTTAAGGTATTGCAAGAATGCCCAACCCTCTGGTGTCTTATCATGTATCTAGCAACATTGCAGTATGAAGAAAGAGATGCCCCGGTCTCAGCCCATGTACTAATACATTTAAGCAGGTTCTTCTCTTTTATCCTTCCTGCTCAGAACAAAAAAGATTAAGGACTAAAATCAAGGAAGACCGAGAATTTTAGAGCTGGCAAAATGAAACCTAAAAGATAAATCAAGGCAATTACTGAGAACTTGGCTTAACCTGGCAAGTCTAAATCTTTCTTTAAATCTTGCAGGAATTATGTGTATAAGGTTTGCTGCAACATGTTCATGGTAAACAAACTAAGTAGAGCTCTTATTTACAAATCTTGTAACAAATACTTCTGGAGGAAAAAAAAGAAAAGAATTCACTAAGTTCCAGAAGACAAAGGCTTGCCAGACATATACAAACACACACTCACACACACACACCCACACAATACTTCAGGGGTTTTTATACATGTTATTTTAGGGCATAAGCTGAGTACTATATAACCCCACACCCCATGAAAAAAAAAAGGAACAAAAAAACCCCAATTTACCCTTCCCCAATAATCTAGAAAACCCTCCCTTCACCCCTGATGTACAAAGTGTATGCACAACGGTGACATTCTACCAGCCACACAAAGCATGCTCAAACAGATGTCACCAGTTCAGTCACCCCATTGGCATGGCAACAGGCAGGTTTACGGGATTTTTCCCAATAGTGGTTATTACACAGTCAGCACCACTGTGAATTTTATGAATTTGAAAAAGTAACTTGTGGATTCAGGATCCAAATAGAATCGTGTTGCATCGAGTTTATCCAAGACAGAGAGAAAATGGGCTGCGACTGAAACTTAGCTTTAGCTTGATATCCTAATAGTCAAACAATAAACCATCTCTCCATTTGCATGTAGACCTAGCTTCACCCTCAGAGAAATGGACAATTTTCTAATCTCAAGAGCAACCAGCTTGTTACATTTTCCCTATCCTGTGGCAGGAAACGTATGTGACTTGTTCTGTTCTGTTTAAGTATCTCAGTCAAAATGCCATGAAGATCGGAGCCCAGGTTTCTCTTTCCTAACTCCTGAAGTGAAAGTGGGTTTTTTGGCTTTTTTTCAGTGAAGCTACTGATGATGCAGGCAAAGAAAGCTGTTCAAATCGGCACTTATTCTTCAGAACAGCAATGACGGACACTTTTACAAGCTTTCCCCATTGCTCCTGGTATTACATTCTGCTCTTGCCTTTCTATCACTCAAAGTATCTCCTAAAACGGTTTAAAGAAAAGCACTATTCTCTTCCCCAACCAGTACTCTAAAATCCACTTGTTACTTGAATGTTCATGGATATAAAAGCAGCACTGAAGTTCAGTCTAGCTAACCATATTCTTAAAAATGTCAAAAATGTTGCTGGATTATAACTTCGAATTCTACTCTTGATTTGTTATCTATAAGAAAATACTATTTGAACCAGTACCGAGAATAAGAATTAAATCGAGGATTGAACTGGGGCAAACCAGTTATTGTGAAAAAGTCAATGTCCAAGCTCCTTCATGGGAAATCAACTACTATTCCTCATTCAAAAGAAAGTTCCACACTCATTACCTTTTAAGGAGGAAACACTCAATTTTCCTTTGTGGAATCAATATGGAGTGGAGACATGAAATGGGGAGATGCTTTAGAAAGCAGGACAAATCTAACCATTACTGAAATTAAAATGTCTCCTTTGGGTCTACTCCATTGATCCCAATCTGAGGTGAGGAGGACTACAAGCAGCAGTAAGTTACAGGCAGACTGAACAAGATGTAAGCTACCCATGTCTAGCTGGGGAGGAGGGGTCTGGAAAAAAGGATCTTAAGAACTAGAATGTAGTGTCAGTCAGCATAGCTGCCGAAATCTACGTTGTAGAGATAAACCTAGCAGAGCGAACACAAGCAAGCACCTTCAAAGTTAACATCCCACTTCCTGAGCACTGCAAAGTAAGACAGTGAATGCTATTGCCATTTCACCATAGGCACACTAGAAAAGGAAGTTTAGTCAAGGATGGTGCCAATGGCCAGTCACTATCAGCTTACAGCTTGTAATGCATCCTGACATTATCAAGCCTGACTATTGAGCACCTGTTTCCAGTTGAGTCACCATAACTGTCCTCCTATTTGCATGCATGATTTGAGGGGAAGACCAGAGTGCTTTAAAACATGAATAAAAAGTGGAGAAAACAAGGGCCATTCAGAGCCGGTCTCACTTGGGGACACAGATTCTTCTGTTCAGTCTATTAGAAATACAGAATGCATTTTCCAATCTAATGAATTAATTTTAAAAAGGGACCCTAAACAAGACGCCCTATCAAATGCACACAAGTATTCTAGAAGACTTGATAACTGCTAAAATATGTGCGTGTATCACAGACATGTTAGTGCAGATTAATATATGAAAGAGAATGTGACACAAATTGAGGCTGAAGTTTTAAAAGAGCCCTCTCCCCAATATTCATGAAACATAACCTAAGAAAAGCCCAAATGTTACCAGGAATGTAAGACTTAAAGTTATAAACTCCTAAAAAATAGAAGTGTATGGTGGAAACACTGGTAGGTCTTTTACTATATGAATGCAAACCTTTTTGTTAAAAATGGACACTTGAACAAACCCAGTTAAGCAAACAGATTAATCTTTAACAGCCTCATTACAAAGTTCACAACTATAAATTTAACCATCATGAAAGAGAGTCCAACTGCTGCTTATGTTCAAGTCCTGCATTTTTGGCCATGTACTAAAATCTCCTTATTCGTTTTTTAACACACAGTGCAACAGGGAATTGACTCTGCCACTGGTTGCTGTTTTTTTTTGTTTTTAATTAGAGTAAGAATATTCCATAAAGTGTCTTAAAAGTCAAAGTCCAAATATTCCTTAAATAACCTTTTGTGCTAGGAACACCTGCAAGAAAGCCACGTTGTCTTAGAAAAATATGCTGTCACTTAAAAGGCAGAAAGAAAATCACAAAGTAGAATATTGAGGAAGCAAATCTAGATTAAAAGGCATAAAAAAAAAGGCAGAAGTTAAATTTCATGAATTTTTAAATTTATTAGCATCCTAGGACCCTTAAACCTTGCTCATAGTATCAGGATGTGGAAGATCAAACTTGCAGATCTGTCTCCTGCTTTCATAAGGCATGTAAAAAGTCTGTTATTAACCATACATTGGCCTCCTAAAATGCATGGTTTCTCTAGTCTTGCTGAGTCCTAGTCTCCTACTTTAAGCAACATGAACAGTAAGCAGAGGGTTGGACCAACTAAAAAGACAAGAGCAAATTGAATAATATGGGAGCAGCATTTAACATATTCCCAAGTGAAGAATAGAGCTAGGAAAATGGTGTCCTACAGTATCTTATAGTAGAGCTGATAGGCACTGGGAGTAGGGTATGCAGTGTTATCCTAAGTAGTAGCAGGAAGCAGAGAGATGTACTTCATATCATGTTTCCATGAAGAATTGGAACAGTCAGGGTATGAAAGGGAAAATGTTCTACCCCCAAATAAAGCAGAGCATGGTTCATGGGATCTGAATGCACATCTATAGCATAAAAGAATGTCAATTCTATGTTTTCATAAAGGAATAATCTCAACTCTTTGTGACTGAGTTTCATATTAACTGGAACTTTATTTGCTTAAAACCTAAACATTGTCAGTTTGAGAAGAAATCCACTGTGAAGTGTAGATTCATCTTGCCAATTAAGTTCTAGGGTGGTTTTGTTATTTTTGGATCCTTGGCAAAACTTTACCCAAAAATCAGGATACATGTGTATTTTAAAAACATGAACCATTAGAGGAAGAAATATGAAATCAAGAGTGAGTTCAGTTTTGTAGGCCCCTGCTTTTTTTTTCCCCCCAGCTCCTTAAAGACTGTAGCAGGATGAAAGGATCACTGGCTCCGAGTCTCTTTGAGATAATAAGTGATGAAATAAAAAAAGAAATCCCACACCCTCAAACAAGGTCAGGTAAACCCTATTGCCCACCCTCCCCCCAAGGTAAAAAATATGAGTACTTTTAGTAACAATTCAGAATTCATCTTTATCTCCTATCTGCCTCATCAGTGGAAGTTTAAAGTCAGGATTTTTTTTTAGACATTTATACTTGTGTATACAGACATATAAACTCATATTAGATGACAACCGATTTTTAAAAGTCCAGGTAGAGAAGAAAGAAGCAATCATTTTGAACTAAAACCTCTCTATGTTTTTTGATTACTATTCAACTTGCTATTGTTTAGCAAAAAGCAACATCTCCATAGTGTTCATCTCAAATCTTATTGCTTTACAACTGTGGTATACCTTCCATTAAAAATAAAAAGATGAAGCAGTCAATCCAGTGATTAATTTGACATGGCTTTCATTGGGAAAGGGGGGGTGATGGCAAAAAGACCAATAGACAAAAAGGTAACTTAAACATACAATGGTTTTCTTTAAAAAAAAAAAAAAAAAGAGAGAGAGAAAATGTTACTTTGAACAAATGGAAAAAGCACTGAAAGCCCATCAGTCAAGCCATAGCCAAAACCATGTCTTATCTTAAGTTCTTTTTTTCTCCCTCTTTTTTCTTTTTTTTTCCTTTTTTTAATAAAATCTCTCCCCAAACCATCATCACTTTTAATCCTCCCCAGACTGCGCTTCATCTTCAGACCCTTCATCCCCAGATTTCTCAGGTGGGGGGCTTGCAGAAGTTTTCTTTTCTGGAGGGCTTTCTGGTTCCTCATCTTCTTCTTTGGGAGAAGGAGTCTTTTCCTTTGATGCTTTTGAAGCTGTGGGGCGACCCACTTTCCCTTTGCCTTTCACTGGACTTGGCATCACTGAAAGTAGAAAAATAACAATTTGGGGAAGAGAAAAAAATGTTTTTAATAAAAATCAACTACAAGCCGAGCTCGGTGGCTCAGCCTGTAATCCTGCGCCTTTGGGAGGTTGAGGTGAGTGGACTGCCTGAGCCCGCGGGTTCGAGATCCGCCTGGGCAGCGAGACCTCATCTCTACAGTAAATCAAAAAATCAGCCGGGCGTGGTAGTGCATGCCTGTAATTCCGGCTACTCGGAAGGCTAAGGCGGAAGGATCGCCCGGGCCCAGCAGGTCAAATCTGCGGTGGCCGGGAGCGGCCACTGCACTCCAGTCTGGGTGACAGAGTGAGACTCCAACTCAAAAAAAAAAAAAAAAAATCAACTACAAAACAAAACAATCTGTAAGAATAAAATCTATAAGGACAACAGCCCAACCAAGGTAGGCACTAGGGTACACATATATCCCTAGATAACTATTTCAATTTCTAAACTCGTCATGATAAATTACAATATGCTGAAGCAGTTTTCTTGAAAAACTAAAAGGTGCTGCTTTTTTTTTTGAGTTGGAGTCTCACTCTGTCACCCAGACTGGAGTGCAGTGGCCGCTCCTGGCCACCGCAGCCTCGACCTGCTGGGCTCCGGCGATTCTCCCGCCTCAGCCTTCTGAGTAGCCGAAATTACAGGCATGCGCTACCACGCCTGGCTGATTTTTTGATTTACTGTAGAGATGAGGTCTCGCTGCCCAGGCGGGTCTCGAACCCGTGGGATCAGGCAATCCACTCACCTCAGCCTCCCAAAGGCGCGGGATTACAGGCTGAGCCACCGAGCCCGGCAAAGGTGCTTCTTTTTTTTGAGTTGGAGTCTCGCTCTGTTGCCCAGACTGGAATGCAGTGGCATGCTCACGGGCACCGCAGTCTTGACCTGCTGGGCTCAGGTGATCCTTCTGCCTCAGCCTTCCAGGTAGCTGAAACTACAGTCATGTGCCACCACACTTGGCTAATTCTCTCTCTCTTTTTTTTTTTTGAGTTGGAGTCTCACTCCATTGCCCAGGCTGGAGGGCAGTGACACGCTCATGGACCTCAGCATCAACCTGCAGAACTCAGGTGATCCTCCCATGTCAGCCTTTCAAGTAGCCAGAACTACAGGTGCATGCTACCACGCCCTGCTAATTTTTGATTTATTGTAGAGATGATGTCTTGCCAAGTTGCTCAGGCTGGTCTCAAATCCATGGGCTCAGGCAATCCCCTCACCTTGGCCTCCCAAAGCGTGGGGACTACAGGCTTCAGCCACCTCACCTGGTCTTAAAAGGTGCTTTTGATAAGAGCTGTTTATCTTTAAAAAGCATGTCAAAAAGAGGAAAAGATAAGACTTAATCTGACTAGAAACTGAAGCCATCAAATAACATTTGACAGTTCCATCATTCCAACAGTAAGAAGTGATGAGCAAAAGTTTAAAAATCACTAGTTCTATTAGCCAGAAAAAAATACTCATACAAGCCGGGCTTGGTAGCTCAGCCTGTAATCTTGCGCCTTTGGGAGGCTGAGGTGAGTGGATTGCCTGAGCCTGCGGGTTTGAGACCCACCTGGGCAGCGAGACCTCATCTCTACAATAAATCAAAAAATCAGCCAGACGTGGTAGCACATGCCTGTAATTCTGGTTACTTGGAAGACTGAGGCGGAAGGATCGCCGGAGCCCAGCAGGTCGAGGTTGCGGTGGCCGAAAGCGGCCACTGCACTCCAGTCTGGGCAACAGAGTGAGACTCCAACTCAAATAAATAAATAAATAAATCAAAATAAATCAAAAAATTATCTGGGCATGGTGGCACACACCTGTAGTTCCAGCTACTTGAGAGGTTGAGGCAGAAGATTTGCCTGAGCCCAGCAGGTCGAGGCTGCAGTGGCCATGAGCGTGCCACTGCACTCCAGCCTGGGTGACAGAGTGAGACTCCAAGTCAAAGAAATAAATAAGTCAATAAATAAATAAGTAAATGAATGGATAAATAAATAAATAAATTGAAGAGATACAAGCCAAAGAATTAGTAGATGCTGAATGAGATACAGACTTGTTCTTGAGTCATGAAACAAGTCTGCTTAGCATGATTTCACTTTCCTGAAAAGCATGTAACATAGCCCTTTAGAAGCTGCCTGTTGAATAAGGCTTGCCACAAAATGTTTGCACGAGCCACAGTGATTATTTGCCTTGGCAGTCCCTTTCCCTTTTGTTACAGCTATTCGACTTACAGGGTGAATGAAAACAGGAAATGCTGACTGATACTCTTGTTGTGTAAGCACAAAAATGACTGGGTAGTGACTGTGGCATGGCTAGAGTCAAGCTTCAAACCCCACAATAAGCTCAAAAGGAAGGGTCAGTGGGTATGAGGTTAGAAGAGATTGTTTGGACAAATACTGCTAGCAATCTGCACAGGAAACAGAGCTCTGGGTTCAGATGGTCAGTAAAAACCAGTACTGGAAAACCAGGCAGCAGGATTTCCATGGGGATGTATGAGGCACCCAGAGTTCCAACGTAAAAACGAAAACAAAACAGTGACAATCATAACAACAAAATACCAGAATGACAAAATGCTAGGGGCATGTATGAAATTCTTCCATGAAGGAGAGACATGGTTTCTATATCTCAAATCATTCTGTATGTCCCCAGCTTACTGCACACACAGAGGAAAGCTGCATTGACAACTAGGACTCAGATTTTAAAGGAATCACCCAGCTGCCAACTTTGTATCGAAAGCATTAACATCATCGTGGCATAGGGAGGTCCTACGAAATATGGGTTCATCAACTCCTACAGCTACGAGGGAATTGTTGGCATGATGGACTCTAACCTCCTCCTGTGCACCAGGTAATTTACCTTCTTCAGATAATGACTCAGTGAGTGTGGTGCCCAGGTGCCTCTGATGCCCAGCCCCCCAAAGTTCTCCCTGCTATATATAGCATTCTCTTTTCTTTTCTTTCTTCTTTCCCTCCCTCCCTCTCTTTCTCTCTCTCTTTAAAATAGAGATGGGGTCTCACTATGTTGCCCAGGCTGGTCTCCAACTTCTGATCTCAAAAGATCCTCCTGACTCGGCCTCCCAAAGTGCAGGAATTATTTGGCATTTTATTCAACAGCATCACAGAATTCCGGAACAACACCCGTTTCTTCTCACCCAACAATTACTGAACCTCCATTATTCTGCCCAGCATTTACATGATCATCTACTTGCTGATGATTCATTTAGTGAGAAAACAGAAGACAGCACATTTTTAACTTGCCAAAAATGGGAAAGATTAATTATCTAACAAAAAACCCTATCTTTCTGCTTTCCCCATTTCTACTTTTTCTTTCTTGAGTTTCCTTTGCTAGCCTCTAAATTTTTGCTTATTTTCTTGTATGCAGGTAAATTTGAATTCCGTCTTGGCCGACATTTACTTCTGGGTGTTTTCATGCTTTAGCGCATATAATGAATTCATTTCTACGGAATCACAGATCCGAAGTGGGGTTCAGTTGTTCTTGACTGGGCCAATTCTGCTCCCTTCCTTCTACTCCAGGGACATGGAACAGTGTCAGGAGACATCCGTGGTGGTTGTGACTGGCCTCTAGTAGGGGTGCTGCTACACACCCTATCATGCACAGGATGGCCAGACCCCCACCCAAAACCACAAGTGATGTACCCACACTGTCAGTGGCACCAAGGTTAAGACAGCCTGCTGTGGTCCCAGCCGGATGAAGGGGACTGGTATTTTTTAGGAGCCCCCTCTGAGACTGCTACAAATACATAACACACTCACCTAAAAGACTGCACAAGAGCATTGTATAAATCATGCTAACAAGATGCACCATAAGATCCTGAAATATGAATTATTGCAGGAAAAAATCTACCCAGTACAGCCTGGATATGCTTCCTTCCCTTCCTTCTTTCCTGCCTTCCTTGACTACAAAAACCTGTTTTCTCTCTTAGAGCAATTCATTTAGGCATCACAAATCACCTCCTCTCCTAGTTCTTGGTCTATGGGTCAAAGGTGATAGTCCTGGGGCAGTGGTAGGAAGTTTTCTGGTGGGCAAAGAGAAGCCTGAGAGAGGCACTCCATCCCCTGCATGACAGCTCATGCCTATAATTCCAGCACTTTGGGAGGCTGAGGCAGGAGGACTGCTTGAACTCAGGAGTTCAAGAGCAGCCTGGGCAACATAACAAGACCTTGTCTACACAAAAAATTAGCCGGGCATGGTGGCATGCCCCTGTAGTCCCAGTTACTCAGGGAGCTGAGGTGGAAGGATAGCCTGAGCCCAGAAGGTTGAGGCAGTGGTGAGCTGAGATCGCACCACTGCACTGCAGCCTGCGCAACAGAGTGAGATCCTGACTCAAAAAAGATAGAAAGGGGTGGTGGGGGGAGCAGAGAGAGAGAGAGAGGAAGGAAGGAAGGAAGAAAGGAAGGAAGGAAGGAAGGGAGGAAGGAAGGAAGGAAGGGAGGAAGGAAGATCGACTGACCTCAGAGAGAGGAAGCTGCCAGGAAGAGTTCTACCTCAGCCTGGACTTGGTACCCAATACCAAGCAGAAGAATTGGGTCACACAGGCGGAGAACACTGGCCCTGCAATCTGGCCTCTCGAGAGCCAAATGGTCTCTCAGAGGCTCAGGAAATATTTCACCACCTCCCAACTGAGTGGTCAGTTTAGGGTTTCTTTCCACACTGCATGTTCTTTTACCAACACATGGGCACAGAGGGAGGAGGAAAAGGCAACAACTGCTTTAGACCTGACGTTCTCATGTTTGCTTTTACACTGGGGAAAACTCAGACTCTGAAAAAGAATTAAACTGAGGTACTGAGATAACTTTTCCTGAAGCTTCCTTACTTTCTATTTGAAATACCTGGATGTTGTCACCAGAATTGCCACTGAACTTCCACCTTGCTGTGTCACTAAGTGGTCCTTCATTCCATGAGTACTCAGAAAATAGTCAGCACGGTCAGAATTCATGGCCCTTTTAATGGTAAGGCTTTTCTCTTCATGATGTGTGCAACAAACATATATAT